AGTCAATCCTAAAGGAAATCAGTCCAGAATATTCACTGGAAGGACTGATGCTGAAGCTGAAGCTCCAGTATTTTGGCCCCCTGATGTGAAGAACTGACTCATTGGAAAAGACCCTGATGCTGGGAAAAATTGAAAGTAGGAGGAGAAGGGGACGACAGAGGATGAGATGATTGGATGGCATCACCGACTCAATGGACATGAGTTTGAGCAAATTCCGGGGGTTGGTAATGGACAGGGAAGCCTGGCATGCTGCAGTCCATAGGTTTGCAAAGAGTTGTATATGACAGAGCAACTGAACTTGACTGAGTGTAACACCATGTGGTAGTGAATTTATTTTGGTGACTATGCCAGGGGGCCCATGTCTTTGCCATCATTTTGTTTTCTCGGAGAAGAACCAGGATCCTTGCACATTCCTCTTGCACTGCACTCTCCATCTCTTAATGGAGGTGAGACTTTGGGCCAATGGACTTCTAAAGAAGTTTAGAATCCTTAGAACCCTTAGAATTCTTAGGATAAACAAGATCCTTAGAATAAACAAAAAAATCCTTAGAATAAACAAAATCCTGATGTAGGAGAGGTAAACATGATAAGATGACTTCGTAGACATTAGAATAAGCACAGACTGAGAACTACTTTGCTAGTTAGCCAAATTTTGGTAATGACTCATGTAATGTCCTTAAAGCATGATTCAGTGGACTTATTATTCTGAATAAATATAGCATGATTATTCATCACTCATTCTTTCAACACATATTTAATAAATATCTATTAGAATTAAAGCACTGCTGAGGCATGGAAGGTACAAAAAAGCATTATCCATCCCTCACCACAACCCATAGGGTATAGAAATTTCACGTGCAAATTTTTCCTCAGAATCTACTTTAAGAAGTTTTTTAAAAACTGCAAATAGAAGATTCTAATTTTTGTTCTGTTTCACCTTTGGTAGTATCACCTGTTAACTTCCTTGGTCCTCTGTGAAGTATTAAAAATAAGAGAACTTTTAAATACATACTTTGTCCAGTAATTTAAGTTCTAGGAAACTTGGTTTCTTCACCTGCAAAAAGGAGATTATAACCTTACAAGGATCTTCTTAAAATTAAGTGTCAAATTGTTAAAATTAAGTGGTAATGTACACACAGTACCTGAAGCGCAATCTCTATTTAACAATTTCTATCTATAGATACTATTATTATTATCCTGTTAGTGCCACTGCGTTCTTCTCACCCAGGCTTGAAAACATTTTCTTTAAAATAAAATCACAAAACCACATAAAATCAATTACCGAGTTCTATTGGCTCTTTCTTGAAAATGTTCCTCATAATTGTCCTTTTCTTCCCACTTCTACTGCCACTTTCTTAATTCCCCTTCCTTAATTCATTGCCTCAGATTTTGTGTTGGGGAGCCAGATAATTTTCCTTAAGACATACTTTTCTGTTCCCCCCCTTTTTTGTTAAATTTTTTAACTGAAGGATAATTGCTTTACAGAATAGTGCAGTTTTCTGCCATCCATCAACGAGAGTCGGCCAAAGGTACACCCAGGTCCCCCCCACCCAGACCTCCGTCCCGTCTCCTTCCCCAGCCCACCCTCCAGCCTGTCACAGAGCCCGCTTGAGGTCCCTGAGTCACACATCGAATGCCCACTGGCTCTCTATTTTGCATATGGTGTTGTAATTTTCTATGTTATTCTCTACATACATCTTTCCTTCCCCTCCCCCCATGTCCACAGGCCTGTTCTTTATGTCTGTTTCTCCATTGCGTCCCTGAAAATAAATATCTGTTCCCCTTTTAAAGACAACTTTCCTCAGAGGCTCACTCTGTCTGTGTTGGTCACTCGGTCCAGTCCAACTCTGGACTGCACCCGACCAGGTTCCTCTCTCTGTCCATGGAATTCTCCAGGCAAGAACACTGGAGCGGGTTGCCATTCCCTTCTTCAGGAATCTTCCTGACCCAGGGATTGAAATTGCATCTCCTGCACTGCAGGCGGATTCTTTCCCACTGCGCCAGCAAAGAAACCTATCAGGGACTCCCTAGTATACACCAAATAAAACACAATAGCTGCTGCTCAGAGTCCTCCCAAGTATGCTTTTCTAATCATTTCCATTGAACTTGAAGAAAAACCCTGTGCTTCTATCACCTTCATTCACTGTATCTCCTGGATCCATCAGTCGTGTCTGACTCTGCGAACCCCATGGACCATGGAATTCTCCAGGCCAGAATACTGGAGTGGGTAGCTCTTCCCTTCTCCATGAGATTTTCCCTACCCAGGGATCGAACCCAGGTCTCCCACATTGCAGGCAGATTCTTTACCGTCTGAGCCACCAGGGGAGCCCAAGAATACTGGAGTGGGCAGCCTATCCCTTCTCCAGGGGATTTTCCTGACCCAGGAATCGAACCCGGGTCTCCTGCATTGCAGGCGGATTCTTTACCAACTGAGCTATCAGGGAAGCCCTCATCCCTCAAAGCCACCTCAAAATCTTTTAATCATTCTAACAGAATTATCCCATTATCTCACTCTTTATGGATATCTAAGGTGTGGCATCCCTTCTATAGCATTTATTTTGTATTAAAATGTATTTTGGCAACACGATAGTGTTGGCAACACTATAAAAGCATAGGTTTTCAGGCCAAACAATTGTGGTGATTAAATTAATAATGCACCTTGAATATACCTAATCCTTGTAAAGCACTTAATAAATATTATCATTAATATTATTGCTGTGTACATTTTTTATTTTCTAACTAGAATGTTCCTAGATGACAATGATCTTCTGGTACTGGTGGTACATTTTCTAATACATTATCTAGTAAACTTTTATTAGATTTTTAGTAATTCTAATTACTTTCTCATGCTGATTTCTTATAGGCTCTGAGTTACTTCATGCTTTAAGACATGATAACTTCATCACAACAACTTCAGCACATTGTCAAGGATGTGCTAACTCATGTTCACTGTGATTGATATGTGATTTGAAGAGTATTAGTGTTGATTAAAAAACCCATTGAACAAGTTAGGGTATGTATGTGGATAGAACAGTTGTTTCAAGTACTATGACATCTTAATTGCAATTAACACTCCCTACTGCATGCCCCCATGCCAAAGAATACCAAGTAGCTTAAGAAGTGCTCAGCTCCTTATCTTGCAAAACTGGTTTTTTTAGTATTGATTGGGAAGGAGGTTGGACTGATAAAAGGAATGACGTTTTGTTTGAGGATCTCAGTGGTGAGGTTACAATCTATTTTGCAGATGAAGTACACTTAGGTTTGCAGCAGTTCAGTGCATTTCCTTTGGCTGCACTGTCATCCAGGAAGAGGACTGTCTACACAGTATAATATTTTATATTCCAAAACACTATACTTGCCTTTTCCAAAATAATTCATATGCTCTTTTATCTCGTGGCCACTGTGACTCAGTCAGAGTTCCTCTCTACGTGTCAGATGTTAAGACGGGAGGCAAACTGATGGTCTACCTAGAGTGACAGAATTGAGCTTTAGCTGTGAGCTTCTTACTAGAATTTTCCCCTAATTTTATTTAATTTTTTCTTCATTCTTTCCTACTTATTTTTAATTTGGGTCAGTGTGTTTCAATATGTGTATTATTTTAAGCATCTTGAGTCCCTTTTCAAACAAGATGGGCACATAACTAATTTTTACACTATTTATACATTTCTGTTAGATGGAGACACTCCTTCCTTGACACTTAATAACTATGGGACTCAGAGAAGTTATTTAACATTTTGAAGTTCCCTCCCTCTAAAGTGGAACTAATAATCCATAACTCTCAGAAATGTCTTGGGGATTAAATAAAATAACTCATGTAAATTACTTGGTGCATAGTAGGCATTCAATAAATGTCAGTTTGCTCCTTATTCCAGTTAATAATGCTTATTAAACTATATTAAAAACTAGAACCAGACTGTGATAATGCATTTCTTTATTAAGTACTTAAGCCAAATAACTAATTTCCCCCAGGGAGAAAAGAAGAGAGATGTTGAATTAGTTTCATTTGGTCAACTTATTTATTAATCTTTTTTTCCAGCATTATTTAACAGTTCATAATTTAGTTTCCATGCAACCAAAATGTTACAGTTTAGTATTCCTTTTAGCTCTACTGTGATTGTTCTTTTTAATCTATTTTTACATATGCCATTTATTAGAGATCATTATTAATTATATTAACAGCTCGATTATGTTTCATAACAACTTCGTGCTGACAAACTTTGGCTCACAGCCGTTTCCCTCAGGTCTAACGAATTAAAAGGATCAACTTTTTAAACGGCAATGTTACAGGAAAAGAAAAACCCCGGTTGCAGGGGAGACCGACACTGTCTATATTCTTTCGTGTTAATTTTATACGTTTGTATTTAAGTAGAGCCACATTTCTCCCAAGGACGGAATCCAAGTGAGGCAGGAAGGGAAAGTGGGAACGTACTAACCGAGCCGGCGCAACGGTATCATTGCACCTTTAAGGACTGGAGACTTGGTGTTAGCTCGGCCTCCTTCCCAGCCCACCTCTGAACTCTGATTGACAGGGCGCCGGGCGAGGAGGAGCCGAAGGAGGCCGAGGAGGAGGCGCAGGGAGGAAAGTAGAGGGAGGAGGGGCCTGTCTTTTCTCCAATGACCAATCAGGGGAGGGGGCGGGGCCACGAGTGCCCTCCTCTCTCCTTCCCTCCCCCGCCTCCTGGCTTCCCCGCCTCCCTCCTCCCCCCTTTCCTCTGCCCCCTCCTCTCTCCTCCTCGTCCTCCTCCTCCTTCTCCTCCTCCTCCTCTCAGGCTGTGGTTTTTCTGTATATGTTTCTGGAGTCCTGAGCCTGAGCTAAACAAAAGCAGGAGGCTGACGGGGCTGCTGGAGTTTGCAGAGACACGGAGGAGGAGAGAGCCTGTGCTCTGCCTTGCCGCCGTGGCTGGGGGAGATCTGGCTTTTGCAACAGCCCACCCCCTTTGAGATCACTCTGGCCCGGAGTGGGGGTGGGGGGTAGCGGGGGGTGGGGGGGAAAGTTTGCATTGCAATCCCCCTGCCTTCCTCTCCTTTCTCCCGGCCAATGCATATTTGCAAAAGGATTAAGCCACAGATTTAAGCGCCGGGAGCCCATTTCTGCCTTGCAAAGGAGACGGACTGAAAAACCAAAAGCCAGCTCTGATTTCTTTTCGTCAAGTGGGAAGGTGGTTTATTTTTCTTGCTTTTTTGGAGTCAACACCCTTCCCCACCAGTCCTTATCCCCACCCTCACCCCGCAACCCCTTCACGCCCCCCTCCCCCTCCCCACTCCCCATCCTCCCACCATCCTCTAAAGAGGCAAAGGGATTTTTTTTTTTTTTTCTTTTGGTCTTCTTTTTTCCCCCTTCTCTGTTTATCCTGAAAAGGATTTGAAGACAGCTTGAAGGATAAAAAGCCTTGGTGCTTCCCAGGAGCCGAGCCGAGGAGCAGAAGAGGAAGAGCCGGGGGCTGCCGTTGCCTTCGGAGATGGACGAACAGCCCAGGCTGATGCATTCCCATGCTGGGGTCGGGATGGCCGGACACCCCGGCCTGTCCCAGCACTTGCAGGATGGGGCCGGAGGGACCGAGGGGGAGGGCGGGAGGAAGCAGGACATTGGAGACATTTTACAGCAAATTATGACCATCACAGACCAGAGTTTGGATGAGGCGCAGGCCAGGTGAGATGGAGGCTTTTCTTTTCCTTTCTTGGGGTTTTTTGTTTTTCTCCCTCTCGCCGGGGGAAACAATGGGAACCGAATCACCACAGCGCTTTCTTTTTAAATGTTATTCCTTGGCCCATTTTGACGAGCAACTATATGGCGGAGGAGTAAAATTTGAAGGAGCGTTGTTATCGAAAGTGCAATCTCCCATGCGGTGATGTGGCTGTCTGTATGTATATTTTCATATATTGTGTGTGTGTGAATATAGAGATCTTTATATATATCCACACAAACACTCAGGCAAGCCGAAAATACTGCCAACTGATCCAAAAGCGGCCCTCGGCACTTTTTACTGCTTTAAAAAAGTATCAGAGAGAGCAGAATTGTCAAGTTTTGAACAGCATTGCATGTCTTCTTGTTGAGGGACTCCGTAACATTACAAAATAAAATGTCCCATGAACACTTTATTTGCAAATATAGTTGACTCCTTACGTAAATCAGAGGCTTTGAATTTTCTATGTGGACATACTCCTCTAAAATTAATTTTTATCTTTCCCCCTTTCCATATTAAAAAAAAAAATAAAAGCAGAGTAATTCTTTGTCAGTAGTTGTCAGCCATCCAGAAAATATTTTGCATTCATTTAATTGTTCCAAAAAGGCTGATGTAAAGAAAGAAGAGATACTGTTGCTTTTAAACATGTTTGTTCGGTTTTAGAGACTCGGATGTGTAGTGTAACTTTATTGTCTCTTATTTTCAGTCGGTTACTAACCTTCTGTGGCACAGAATGTATGGTTCTTTAAAAAGGGGTGGGGGGAGAAAATCAAGCATGCTCTTTTCCCCATGCTTCTTTCAGGACCACTTAGATGCCACTAAACTAGAAATGAAGGCAAATGTGTATTTTATATATTTCCATCCTATAGGACACGAAGATCTTCATTAAGGAAGCATTATAAAGAAGCTCTGTAGCGTCTCAGTTAATCCACTGCCAAGTATATAGTTCTCCACTCTAGGATTTTACAGTAAATTCTCTTAAAAAAAAAACAAAACATAAACTAAATGGCAACCCACCAACTGGTTGCCCAAGGCCTTTCTTGAAAAGAAGAATTTAAGACACTCTAATGGCCACATATGTCTTTCCAGTTACCCAGCTTTATTAAATCTCAGAAGTAGTTGGGTTTTTAAGTCATATGTACACAGTTTCTCTACCTCACAAGACTTAGTTCTATGGAGAAGACATTATTTTATCTATTTTTGTTTAAGGGAAATGGGAATTTGAATTGAGAAAATGAGAAGAAGCAATTTCAAGGATGATATGAATTACACTCTTATTTTAGCTGTAAGCACATGCAACATGTAAACTCAAAAGTCCTGAGGTTTATGGATGTTTGAAAACTTGGAAAGGTTCAAAGACTGGAACTATGCTTTTTTTTTTTTTTTAATAGAGGAAGGTTTTCAAAAATTATTTGGTGCCCTTTTTGAATTTTATTACCTGGAGAAAAACTAATAGGTAGGGTCAATGGAAGATTTCCCACTGGCAATCTCTTTTTGAATTGGAACAGATCTCTTCATTACATTGTTCTAGAAAAATAAACTCAGACATACCAATAAACGCCTCTAATAACAAGTTTGTGCAGCCGAAGGGGCCGGTAGCACTGAGAACCACCACTTTTCTGATGTTTAGTCCCGTTCCTTTTTGTACAACTGAGGACAGCCGTGGCTTGGCGGGTTCACCCTTTTAATGACCTAAATGTTGAGAGAATCAGACACAGTTTTGGGATAGGGAGATTTTCTGTTCTCTCTAAGCCAACCCCATGGACGTGCTTGGCAATAACAATATTTCTGCAAAGCTGCATAGAATTTTTTGTTGTTGTTATTTGTTTTGCATTTGGGCTTTTATACAAGAATACAATTAATGAAAACTCCTTTAAAAGGCCCAGAAAGAAGTCTTTGATACCTTAAAGTCTTCTTCACCATTTTTCTCACCCCACACCAGAACTAAATCGCCACTAAGCTTTTCTTTTTAGTTCTTATAACTCAGCAAATACTTTAACTGGGTTTTCCTTTCCTTAGTCACATCTTCATAATGTACTTTTATTATTTATATAGTGAACCCTTCGCATTTTAGATGCAATGTTTATGTTTATTTTGATACTCTTGAATTTTGAGATTTTGACTCTTCTACTGTACAGTAGATAGAGCATGCTTCTGGTTTCCGTTCCTCAGGATGTGTATCTATTTTTTTAACTTTGAAAGGAATTTAAAAAGAACTGCATGTGTCTTGAGTGCCAGAGGTTTCTATTTATCTTTATACATTCATTTTAGTTAGTCAACACAATTCCCTTAACTAATAGCTGATATGATCAGTATTTTGTTTCCAAAACAATATCCTTCTGCTAAGTGCTTCCAGAGTAAAATCAAGGGAAAGGCATTGTTTTGGTCCTTAAGTGCGTGCTGAATAGAGACACATATAAGAACCAGGTAAATCACTAATCTAAAAGGGAGAATTGTATTTATTTTTTTCCCCAATGGGTGCAAGGTCCTAATTGTAAATAATTGAATTTCAACACCTGCAAATAAGCAGTGTGTGCACAAGCGACATAATGTGAACACAGAGAAATGAATCTATTCCCCATATGGGTATGTTTGCCCCCTGGCAATGCATTTCCATACTCTTTAACTTGGGGACTGAAATTTTATAAATTGACAGTTCTGCTCAGAAGACCTTTCAAGCATCTTGTGTTTATGAGAATACAGGGGCATCTGCGGAATGAATTCAAACACATGGATGAATTAAATTTGAAAACACACACACACACACACACACACACACACACGAACTGAAAAGCAGAGAGCTCCTAGGCTATGGTGGTTGCGTAGATTATACAAAACTGTTAACCCATGCATTTGACTCTGCCGTGTTTTCATTGCCCTGGATAGGATTATTGGTTTAAGACTTCCACTTGGATTAAACTACTCATAAAAAACAAAACAAAACAAAACAGAAAACCCCAAACTCTTCCTAAATGAGCATAATTGAGGTTAGTTCTGTTCTGTAGTTAAATCCCTGCTCTCTCCCTGCTAATTAACATTATTTCTTTTTCTATGGCGGGACTCTTTATATTAAGTCATAAAGCAATTGAAGCATGCCACAGAGTTATGCTTGGTCTATAATTTTGGCTAAATGCTCATTTTTTTCCCCCTGTGCATTATCAGCAGCTTGATCCCAGGAGTCCACCTAAGCTATTCTGTTGTTGTTTCTTTCTTGCAGAAAACATGCTTTAAACTGCCACAGAATGAAGCCTGCCTTGTTTAATGTCTTGTGTGAAATCAAAGAGAAAACAGGTAGGATTGAGATTCCAACATTTAAGCATTTTCTTTGGCCAATTGACCACTTAACCGGCAATCAGGAACCCATTATTTAAATATTAAAATTTCAGAATAGAAGTACTTTCAAGATTGATCGCATATTCCAATAGGAAGTCCTAGTAGCCTTGCTTCCTGGAACAGAAAGCACCAAGTTTCTTTGACAGTTATTACCAGACATTAGCGGTTTGCTGGCCTTAACTCTACTCCTGGCCTCTTTGAAATTGAAGCTAAAACAGAGGTTCTGAAGGGGAATTTACAGAATGATTTGCCTGTGGGGGAAAAATATGAAAGTAAAAGTCCACTTCTTAAAGGAATATATTTTGGCCCATCTTTAAGACAGTGTTTTTGGAGTTGGGCATGGGGGTGCTAAAGTGTTTAAAGTTTCCTCTTCTTTTTTCCTTGTAATTACACGAAGCAGCAAACTAGAGTTCTTGACAGAGTGTTGTCAGATACCTTTGTGGAACGCGTCACACGACATCAGGTTATCGGTATTTGAGCGCCCTGTGATTTTATAGCTGGGAGAATCGCTGGGTTTAGGAGAAGAGAAAGCGACGAGCTCACTCATTCTGTCGTTTTTCTACTTTCTAGACCTCATATCATGAACTAACACACTTATAACACGTCCCAGGAGGGCATTTAAATTTTAAAGCAACAATTAAAAAATAGCAGTCATCAATCAGAGGTGTTCTTAAACAACAGATGCTCTGGGAAGGACACTTAGCAACATCCTCTTGTTTGTTTATTTTAATCCTTAATTTTCCAAAGTGGGTGAGTCTCTCCCTTGTAAAAAGAGAGAGTTGAGAAGGCAATCTGAAGCCAGGGCATAAAGATGAGGGACGAGGGGTGGTTCCATAAAGCGGGAGCTTCTGCTGGCCTCTGACTTGGTCGCTCGCTGCGGAGCAGCGCAGAGTACCTGACATCCTATTTATTTATTTATTTTTTACAACAAGGAGTGTAACAGTCAATAATTCATATCTAAACCATATAAGCAAGGGCATGACATGAATGAAAGTGACAATAAATATGATTGCATGCCCGGTTGATATACATTGATAGTTACACATAAAAAAAGGAAGGAGGGGCTCTGAGGGCACACAGGGTGGCTTTCTTTTTGAGGGCTCTCTGTGTTTCTATTTTAAAAAATAAATAGTTTCAAGATGTGACCATTGATCAAATGTGTAATTACTCGGATCTTGAAATGTATGGAAAATTAGTAAGCAGCTCCTTTGTTGAATGTTATTTGTGTTGTGCGTGACATCCCAGACAAAGCACCTGAGCAGTGATGTTCAGATCTTTTAAGTCTTCCAGGTTTCCTTGCCAAAGCCTAACCTTACTACAAAGCTGGGAATTGCATTATTTTAGCTGTGATACACCTTTTAAGAAATGTATGGGTTGTGCATTCAAATATCAAAAGGGCTTTTCCAGTTTGTCACACTTTTTAGTTTTTTTTTCTCTATTAGCCTGGAGCAAGAAACCTAAGTGCGTATATATTTCTTTATCTTTTGTTTTTTTCTTCCTTCTCAGTTTCTTTTTTCTCTGATTCTAATTCACCTGGAATATTTGGTTTGTTGAAATTTGTTGCTAATTGGGTATGCATTCCTGCTGATCTTGCTTCATAAAATACAGAATCAAGTTATAAAGGCATATTTGATAATTCAGTCTGAAGAGACTCTTTTTAAGACACTATCAGATTTTCATTGAAAGGAAGTCTATCAGGGCATTTAAATGTATATTGTGGTCAAAGTGTTTAATTCTAGTCTTCTAATTAAAATCTACTGCTAAGGCAATAGATCAAAGTGGATGGATGTGAATATAGATACGGTTCTAGTGTGGATTCAAGAGTTTGCGCCTCACATGAGTATTGCCTAAACTATGGTGATAAGAAGCAGTTTTGTCGGTCAAAATCATGCTCTAAAGGTATAATTTATTGTTGGATTATATATTTTGTTTTAAAATTTTTCTGTTATTGAGTTACACTAATGTTTGGAGCTTTTTAGAAATCTAAATTAAGGTTTTGTATGCTGTCTTTCAAATAATATATTTTTAAAAACAGTTTAGTGAATACTGTGAATTGAAAATAATAAGGATAGCTGACCCTGTGTTAAGAGGGAAACCCCCACACATACACACAGAAGTTTTGCATTAAGAGGACACCCATGGGTGAGAGTACAAAAAAAATAGTAAAATAAAAAGAGGAAAAAAGAAAGACCTTTCTCCTGTTCCTCGACCTGTGTATCAGAAGGATTAAGGAGAAGGAAGAAACCTCTCCTGGAATGTTGAGTGTTCTGTGTTGTAGGTAGGAGACAACTGCGGTGTGTTGAAAAGAACTCTTTTGTAAAGCACGCTTACTTACTCAAGATCGACCTCACCCTCATTCTGAGAGCTGGCAAATCTTCCATATGGTTGATATGCCCGCAACACAGCGTGTCTGTAAAGTTGTTGGAGCTCTTTTTCCCCTGCTTCTTGATACAGAGCTAGTGACAAGATTGTTTGCATGATCAGTTCATGTACATTCTTTCATTGTTTGGGAGTTTCCCTATTGTTACTTTCTAGTCTTTACACCGAATGAGTATTTTTGAGCTTCCTTCCCAAGTATTGTAGAGGTGATTTGATTTAGGGTGGGCTCTGCTTGTTTGTATTCTCGCAGGAGCACTACGTGGGCTTACCTGGGTCTTTGCAAGGAAGTCAGGACCCTGAGAGGAGCCTGGGGATTGCATTCCTTGGCGGCTTTTGCTTTTTTGATTTTTGTCAAAGACTTTCATTGGAAAACTCAGAAATTTGGAGGGAAACTAGCTAAGATTGTCTTACCAACCTTTTGGAACTTTAAAGAAACAGACTCGCATAACACCTAAAGTAGGCAGAACCGTCTAGATTACAGTTGATTGATAGGTATTTACTCAGAAATTACTGTGGGGATATTCAGGGGGAAAAAAAGAACCCAAGAGTCTTCTTGTTGAGAAATGTCGGTGTTTTTATTTTGATACCTTTTTGCTTTTTTAAATAAAAATGCCAAGAACAAGGAATGCCTGAACAATTCTCAGGCAGCAAATCTCAGACAGTAGGAAAACTCTGTCAAGACCTCTAGCAAGTATGTTTCAGAGGCGGCTTTTATCTGCTTGTTCCTTCTGGGAGCATAGAGATTTCATAGAGAGTTTTGGACCTTTTAATACCTCATTTTCTTTCGTTTCTTAAGAACCATTCCTTGTCTTCTGACAAATTAGCAATAGACTGGGTTTTGCATATGTGTAGAGGTGGTGGTAGTGAGGTTGATGGGATGGAGAGAAGGAGAAAAAAAAAAATCAAAACATACTGAATTTCTTAAAAGGACCTTAACTATATTTTTAAACATTTCTTGATTTAAAAAAAAAATTTCTGTGTCAAAAATCATGCCGGTTTAAAAATGAGGAAAAAACACAAAATATTGGTTGCCGTCTACTAAGGAGACTATTTATAGATAGTAATGAATAGCTGTAATTGTTGTGAACAGTTTTTAATTTTAGAACAAAATAGCTATATATGGCAGTTTTCAGCAAATTTTCCTCTGAGCATCATCTGCTCTGAAGTTAAATCAAATCACTGAAGGATGTTAAAAAATTATGTTTTGCTTACTTAATGCCCTTTTGTTCTCTCTTTCCTTCCTTTATTCTCTCTGTTCAATTAACACTCCCATCACAGGCTCTAGTTTTTTTTTTTTTTCCTTATCTCTACTACTGTGTTTCAGTTTTTTCCCACCCTCTCTTATTAATTCTCACCTGCCACTTCTTTTTAGTATAGCAATTACATTATGAGATTTCTGCTTCTCATCTTTTCATAGCTTTAGAGAATAATTTGTGTGTGCGCGCGCATGTGCATACATGTGTATATGTGTGTATTTGTATATGTAGGTGGAGGGAACACCGTGGAAGGAAGTTTATATTTTAGGAAAATAATTCTGAAAGGATTAGGCCTTGAGCAGAGAATAGGAGTGAAATAACTTCAAACAATTTAGAGATGCCTCTGATCAGATTCTTTTGGGGGCTGACATGACAGAAGTGACTTTTTGTAAATGCTCATCTCTAGAAGGCAAAAGCGAAAAAACTTTCTTGCTGATGACAGCATTCAAATTTTGTGTGTGTGTGTGTGTGTGTGGAAGGGGCAGAGAGCAAGGGAACAAATGAAGGGAAGTTACTTGATGCCACCCTTTCAGGCACAGTATGTGAGCAGAAGGCAGGTTGATTAGACCCTATGTATTTATTCTGATCTGGACACGAGCAGTAGACCTACAGTAATAAGACTCCGTGGAAGACGCAGTATCAGCGTCTGATGAGAAGCATCCCTTCTGTCCGGTCGTGTGTCCTCCACTTTTAGGAGCCGATTTGCACCCATTCTGGCAGCTGAGAAGTGGGGAGAAGAGGGCAGCAAGCAGCCTGAGTCAGACCTGCCCCAGTGAGGTCTTTGGAAATTCGGTGTCATGTTTTCTAGCAATTGGATGCCTACAAGGACTGGGAATGAGGAGAATATAAGGGAAACTGAGGAAGCTCGAAGAAGGTTTATGAGTCGGGGAAAGGCCCAGGGGAGACCTGTGATCCAGGCCTCGTGGGCTGTTGGGAGCCGGGAGCAGTGAGGGTGCTGGGTCCCCAGGCGGGCGGCAGGCTGCACCCTGGGTGGAGAGAGGTGGCGGGGTCTGGCGCGCTGCTGGGGTCTGGCCTCTCCCACATGCCTCTGCTTCTCTGCTCTGCTGATATTCATGTGCTTTTGGTTATTGTTGGCAAAATTAAAACATTTACCCCCAAACAAGCAAACACACACAAACTCAGATATTAAACATATTTAAATAGGAAAGCATTTTAATTTTTTCACTTAAAGCATAACCCTGGCTTCTCTTGAGACAGTTTTACAGGCATGCCTTAGGAAAACTGAGCCTGCACTTTGGTTTCCAGCTTCTGTTAGATGAATGCTGTTATGGTTGGAACTTGGTGTAGTGATTCTAAACATAC